GGGAAGTTCTGTTGCATTTGAAGGTACATCTGGCTTGGTGATCAAACATGGAAGGGATTTCACTGCACTGTCATTGTAGAAACGGGACGTGAGATTTTTCCGGTTACAAATATAATTGAAACAATTTTCCTGGTCACTCTCTTTTTTACTGTATTTGGTGTACATTCTGTGACTGTACTGCCTATGAAGCTTTGCCGTGCAAGTTGGGTGACTTAGTTCTTTATATGTTAAATGAAATTTTAGATACTTACAGATCTGTTTTTATACTAAAGAATAAGGTTAGTTACACTGTCCATGACCTGTAAACGATTTTAAATTCCAGCTCCCTGTTGGAGATCAGCTTGTCAGCATTGTCTGCCGTTCATTTCAGAGTAGAAGTACCTTTCCCTGTACAAATGACACACTGATTGTAATCCCAGAGGCAGTGAGAAGACAAAGATGTTTCGTTTTTCCCCAAGTCATGAAGGCTTACATGAAATGGTGAAAAAGACTTGGTGCAAACTGCACAGGTGGAATGTGAGGCACTGCTGGTGAACACCTGGCTCTTCAGTGCCTGAGGAGGAAGGTGAGAATATAGATTTAAACCAGTAAAATATAGAGAATTGTGTAAGCTGGAGTAACAAAAGCGTTTTCCTACTTCAGCCGACGGTTTCTGCTGTAGGTCTCGTCGTGTGTACACGAAATACACTGTGCCGCGCTTCCCCGAGTTGTGTGTTGCTGGTTGGGTTGCCTTTACCTGGCCTTGCTTTGGGCTTTTCTGGGAAATGGCCTGTAATATGGTGTAAATAATCTAGATGGTTATGTTTATAAAGCAGCAATCAGCAATGCTTCACTTCACAATTCCTCCCTATAGCTAGCCTATTAAAATGTAATATTTATTAAAATCAATGTTGGAACTGCTTACTGAGATCTAAACAGTTCTGAATCTTTGCTATGTTTGAGTCTATAAAATGTGAATTAAAGTATTTTCTGCTACAACTTCTTTTTGTGAAGGTAATTTTTGAGTCTTAATTTGAAAATTTTTTGACTCTTCATTTCATTTCCCTTTGAACTACACTTGGTAGAAATTATATAACTTAAATAATTTACATGTCCATCATTTATGCTTATGGTGATGAGCAGGCTTCCGTTCTCACTTCAGCTCCACTCAACGGTGCCGGTAACCTGGGTGCCCGTTGCTGCGCACAGTGCGTTGTAGTGTGGCCAGATTTAGCCCCTGGGTAAGTCCAGTTGTTTTAAGAGGCAAAAAGGCTTATTTTGAAAGAAAGTGTGGCCTGTTCTGTCCCTTTCTCAGAATAGCTTATAAAATTAATTTTGTGACTATTTTTTCTGGTGGGTTTACCCAGTGGGGCTCTTCATGTGAAATTACTCCCCGTAAAGCATTTCTGCAGCTTTCTGTTTCATTCCATGTATGTATTTTTAACAAATTATCTTACTAAAGATTTGATACATGTGTTTCATCCTCAGTTTAGGACCTGTTACACAGGTGCTGATAATTATAGTGATTTAATTTAAATTTAAGATCTTACCTTTCACATTGTTGTTTAAATCTCCTGTGTTTGAGAGTGTTGAATTCATCACTATGATTGATGACAGTCACTTGCCATTCCACTTTTTTGCATGCATACTGTGGCACAGGGATTGAGCTTGTTTTAAGCACAGATTTCTCATAATTAAATTTTTGCTGTGCAGCTCTATCAACTGTGAAGAAAATGTAATTCCTCCTGCAGACGTTCCTTGCAGTAGGTCTTCAGGCAGCTTTGTACAAACATGACTGTAGAACTCCAAAGGGTTTAATGAAATTTCTGTTCCTCTCCCAACCCTGTGGCACCTCTTTTAATCTCTGGCTGATAGTTTAGTTGGCTTTTTTCTTTTTCTTCAATGAGCATTAGGGAAGAAGTGAAGCAGCTCTCGCGGGCAGACAGTCGGCAGGGTGCTGCTGCCAGGGGCAGGGCTCGGGCTTTGCTTTTACTACAAAGGCCCCAAAAACCAAAGGCCCTGTGGAAGACTTGGCACAGGAGCGGGGCACTACTCTGCGTCTGGCTGCCATGCAGACCGGATCAGATCTATTCCCCATCCCTTCTTTTTTTCCTGTGTATCCTCTGTGAGACGTCTACAAGAATTCTCTACTTCTTGTACTTCCTGAAGCTGCATATGAGGAAAACAGCAAGCCTGCCCACCGTTGGGGGATGCTGTGGCACACCTCAGAATGAACTACTTCTATAGAAGTAAAGGCTACTGTAAGAAATACGGGGTTTCTCCTAAGGCAAGGTGGAGTGAATTAACAGTATTTGTTGCACGTGGGGAAGGGCAAAGAGACACTGGGGGTGCAGAGTTCTTCACAGTAGAGCGTACCAGTCAGTACTGCGCACAATCAAAAGACCTGAAGCAGACTTAGGGTTCTTGCTCGCTATAGATCGGTAGCAATTATTTTTAGGCTTGCTATGTGCAGATGTCACATACTAGAAAGGTGTCTGTCCACCATCTCCACCACAAACTGCCAGAGTTATCTGTGAACCGACATGGCTGAAGCACAGCTTTGCTGACCTGCTAGGTCCCTGTGAGGTTTTTGTGCTTTACATATTCCTGGCTCTTGTTCTGGTCCCAGACTGCACTTCCTAGGTTTACAATAAGTGAGTAAGTACTGTTGTACGTACCCATCGCCCTGGTTAGGCATTTGACTTACCCTTCTACATAATACACCTAGGACAGAGTGACAGCGATGATCACGTAACTTATAATTTTTCAAACTTAGGAACTTTAAGCCCGTGTTGCAGTTCACAGTGCTCCAGCCAGTGCAGATGCC